GAAAGAGAAAATAAGACAGATAGCAAGAAAAGAAAAAATTACACAGAAAATGTAAAAATTCCCTTCCTAATTTTGTTTGAAATACGGAATTTAAATGAAAAAGGCCAATATTTAAAAATTCAGTTAGTTTTAGTTCATTAAAAACTAGTGTTGAGAAGTAATTCTTACACAGCAGTATGAGCTTTCCTGAGTATTGGGGGGGAAAAAAAAAAATCACAGAACGGTAAACATCGACATCATGGTAAACATTAGAAAAACTTTCGATAAAAAATACAATTTAGAAAATTTCCAGTGCATTTATTCTCTCCTTTACACAAAAGGATACTTGCCTTCCCTTTTCCAGAAAGGATTCACTAGCAAATTCTCCCAAGGAAAGTTTGCATTATTTGTAGGCAAATGCAAAGGAATTTCATGTATTATCCTCCATTTAAACATAGTTACTAACCATACTACATATACTGGAAATGCAAAATTAACTTATTTGAGGGAGTTTTCAGTCCTTTGTTAGTCTACATTACCAAATTCTTTTGATTTTCAGTACAATGGGATCTGGAAGTTTTTTCAAGGGTAAAATTACCAAAGTAGGGATGGAAAAGAAAGGAAATAGGAAAATGTAAAAGATTGACAGTAGTTCTTAATTTCAGACCAAAAAACCCTGATTTTTGTTTTCCATATACTTATGTCATGAATATCATTTATCTATCAAATTCATATTTGACCGTAAGTGGGATGCCACATATTAAGATGCTTTTATATTTTCCATCAGAAAGGTAGAGTTTTTTCCAGCAGTTCTAAGATATTACTATATGCCATTATGTGAAACTTATAGTCACCTGCAAAGACGAGCTGACTTTGAGTAGAGATGTTCTTTCTTTCTGTGGTTTTTCCCTACTTCAGTAAAATCATGGAGTACAACAAAACGTTGATTTGCAAGAAATTCTTCTTTTTCATTTTTTATAATTTCTTCTTTCAACTTCTCAAATCTTAGTTTTTCCTCTTCATTAGGCCACTCATCTGACAAATCCAAACCGGACTGCAACAATTCAGCTAAGTTTAGCTTTTCAACAGCTGGCATTTCTATTGGAATTAAGAAGAAATTACCGTATGTCTATGTATCAGTTAAATGAAGTCAGAAACTTTTTCTAAGCACAATACAGTATTTTCCTGCACAATGAATCTAATAGAAGTGGAATTTTTTTTTAAATGCATATTTTTTTCTCAAAGATTTTTCATAATGTTTAAAGCAATCTATTCTGGCAAAACTCGACAGTCTATTGATAAATGCAAGCAGAGTAGTGGCTTCCTTTTGCTTGATAATTTATGTATCTCATAATCTGGTAAACTCCTCACCCAGTTTTTTATTAGTTCCACCACACGGAAGCTGATTCAAAGTTACAAGCATTTTCGAAAAGCACTGAATACATCTGACTTATTCTGAATTTAACAGCTCAAAGCCCTCAACACCTTGCAGAAACATCCCGAGTCTCAAACTGCAGTCTGGGCTCTTACTCACTGAGGGTCCCTAGTTTCCTTTTCCGTACATACATGACTCGCAGAGAACAATTCGGTATCCCCACAGGAGCACCTGCCTCATTCAAGAGCTCATCCCATACTCGGGGAACTAACTGGAGAGCCTGCCACAGAATTCAGTAAGTTTAAATCACAACTTTATCACTTACATTGTATAAAAGATAGTGATTTCTGGTGCACAGAGAGTAGGGGATACAAGCCAAACATCCCACTTATCTCTACTTTGCATTCTGGGAAGATAAAAAGATCCTGGAAATTATGACTAATGCAATACTTGTACCTATTAGGACTGAGTTAAGAGGGTCTATAACATTAACTTTTTTCTCACTTTGCAGTTTTGTGCAACATTTATAGTCTCTTAACGCGAATTTGGGTATAAATACACATTACATGAACTATATTTTACTAAACTAAAGGTAGAGTTTTATGCATGATATAAAAAAGTTAAAATACATGTTCAATTTATCAGAGGAAAAGGCAAAGCAGATAAGAGATACAGTAATCATTAACATGCTACAAGTGCCTGTATGCAATCTGCGAGTCAAAATGGGAAAGATCTTTTAATATAATCAATTTTAATATGTAATATAATACAAAAGATCACTGCAGCTTGCATTTCACCCTAACTGGTAACTCAGGTTAAACAAACTTAGCATTATCTCAAATTACTCCTTTATAGGTATTAATCTTTGAACACACAACTGAACAGTAATGCAGTACGCAGTAATCTTTCATATTTACATACAGCTATTCTTTTTAGGGTACATCTACGCTGCACTCCAAAGTAAGACTTATGCTTCTGTAGGAAAACCTAAGCTATCAATAAGTGATCAGGGCACCCACAGTAGGGCAAAGCCCAGCAGTAGCGGACCACCACAGCATTCATCCGCCTTTTTGAGTAGGTTTGTAGCCTAGACCTGCTGCTGCCAAGCAATAACATCAACTGCACAGCTAAGTGTACTGCAGCTCACCTCTGACTGCAGCGTTAAGACATCCCAAGACACACAAAAATTTGGTTCTATAGAAACTATAGACTTAGGAGGTTCCCTGAATCCTACAGAAGAAAACCTCTAGATTTCATCTCCCTCTTCTCCTCACATTTAAGAGAAAAAGCACTATTCCAAGACACATTCTGTCCTCCTCTCTGCATGAAGTATGTATATACTACTTCTTACAAACTGCTCTCATCCAGCACGAACAGATGGGCCATGTGGGAGGGAGCAAAACACTCCTGAATATTACAGAAGGTTCCCAAACTGCATGTGCATGCCCACATATTCTGAAGTCCATGGGATTATTTTTCTTTAAATATACCACTATCTAAATGATCATTAAACAACACTGTAACACAAGCAAGTTATGGAGCTGTCCTAGAGCGTACTTTATAATTACGTCATTTGAATCTATTGTGTTTGAATAAAGTAGAAAGACAGCATGCAGTCCTACATTCTTATGCAGACATAAATCACCAGGAAAAAAAGCTTCTGATTTGATATTTTGAAGAATATTAAGAAAATGCTTAATAATTTCAAAATTGCATAACCCAAAGTTAAAAAAAAACAGCTGCAGCATTTCAAATATATTACTTATTTTGAAAGGAAATAAAACAAATGGAAAAGCATGTGTAGTAGTCCATGTTGCAGCAAAAACAATACACTACTGTCAGAATAAATTCTGCTAATTCCCAGACAAAACTCACTTCACATAGTATCTTAAAGAGTGATCAACTGTAATTAATTCTAAATTGCTAATGCTAAAGTGACTACTGAAAATAATATAGGTTAATCTTGTACAGATAAAAGGTAGACAATTTGTTTTCACAGTGTAGACATCTTTAAAAACAAAACCCAGAAAACCTTTCAGTTGATTACTGTATTCCTAACACTAGTATCAGAATTTGTTTCTAAAATATGCTGAGCCAGATTTCTTTAAGATGAGTATTTTCTTGCATTTAGGGTTTTATTTCTTTACCCTAACATAAAAAGATATGCTTTCATTACTAAACTTTTTCCTCCAGGTAACAATTAAAAATGCTCAGATAAATTAATTTCCTAATTGTAGAGAGGAAAATTCGTTATCTGTAAGAGTAACTAGAGTAGGAATCTGTACTCTACTGCACAGAAATTTTGCCTCAGCTTTGCGTAATTTATTTGCTAACTAAAAGTCCACTTGAAAACTATGGAAAGCTTAGTTCAACTGTACTAAAGCATTCCAATATATTTCAACTATGAAAAGGATTTACTACACAAACACTTTCAATGTCTCTAAAAGCCATAATTTTGAATATCTGAAAGGGACATTAATTCTCATTTAAAATTAGTGGTAGATGCCTGACATTTTATTCCTATTCCCAAATGTTTTTTCCCCAGCTCAACTCTAAAAGTTATTTTGATGCAAATACCAATTAAACACCTATACTATGCATCAGGCCTATGTCAAGAAAAAATACGGGTTTCTACCATGTTGAGCACAAATTAAATTAACAGTTATTTCATTGTAGTACTCTTTGCAAACTAACCTAGCATGATGCAGCAGTGAACATGACAGATGCTGTAGAAGGTGAAGCAAAGAAATTAAATGAATAGTATATATTTTTATATTTAAAATGCTAGTATTTTATGAAAATCACTAATGAAGCTCATCTGCTTCCACAGGCCACGGACTACCTTGCTAAGGTGACGACAACTCCTTGAGTTTCTTTCTCGATGTTTAGCAATGGCACGTGCTGCTGCTTGTAGCATAAGCCATTCTGTGAAATACAGAATTTTAAGGTTCTATCCCTATCCCTAAACTAAGATTAGACTTTTAGACAGACTAATATGCAATCCTGCATCTTAAACGGCCTGAATCCCTACTTTCCTTCTTGGACGACTGCGTTCACTTTTCAAAATAGTTTGAGGCAGGTATCAGGAACACTTCATGCTGGCAGGTGCTGGGCTTAGGTCCTAGCACAGCCCTTCCAATTAACCTCATTCTTGACCTACAATTAATTCTTCTAATTCAGCATGATCCTTTCTTGAGGAGATAAAAGAAACTGGGTGAAGCTAACACAGTTTGTGGTCTGAAATAAGCCTTACTTTGGTCTTCAGAGAAGACAGTTTAATTCACTAATCCACTGAGGTACTTCTGTTCCCTAATACGGCATGTGAATCTGTCTGCAGATTACATAAAGAGAGGAAGCACTCTTGCAAGTATACAAGCCAAGTTATTTCACAGAAGGATAATACAGATGATATCTAAATCTACTACATCATTTGAGATCCTGATGACTTAAAACGTAAGTAAATGTATTTTTGTGCATGTTAAAATAAACGTTGACTAACATGGAAAAAAAATAGTACAAACATTAAGCACTGCTAATGCAGAAAAAAACTGTGTGCATAGAAAAATGCATCATTCTTGACTCATAAATAACGCTAAGATATGGTGAAGTTTGAAGGTACATAACGCTAAGTCAGAAACACTGCTGGGATGTAATTTATCTCAAAGTAAGAATTATAAAACCGAGTCTTAAAGCAAAAAGAAGACTATTCATGTGAAGTTCTGCAGATATGCATGATGCCCTGCAATGACATCAAACAATAATCATGGAATTAAGAGAAATAAAAACACAGAGACATTATCTTTAAATCAGTATTTTGACTTCATGTTCAGTATCATGGTATTTCAAGCTGATGATTTTATATTTCACCATATGGCTTAGCAATTTAAGTGGTTCATTCATCCTCTGGATTTACTGTGTTCCCTTTAATGATGCCATGTTTTAACATGCCTAATTCTCATCTGATATTAATGGCATCCATAGTAATTAGGCTTCATTACGGGGAAGTTTAAGTATGAAAAGAGATCTTCAGTGGGAATATGCCAATATTTCCATTATTAATGACTTCTGGAATCTATCTGACCATAAATAATGCAAATGTTGTTACATCTTTTCATCTCTGCTGACAACTTTAAATTTTACCCTTCTAATGTAAATTTATAACTGCAACACTGAGGGGAAAAAAAAAAGGAGAAAGTGTAATCTGTAGATAAAGAATAAATTGTGCTCGTCTTTGAAGAACGTGAGCTCAAATACAGTACGAAAATACAGAAAACATCGGGCTTTTGATATGTGGGTGTACAAAATCAATTAGTTCGTAAAATTAATTATGGAGTATATGCTACACTGAACTTTACAAAAGTAGGTCTGTACTTCAGATTGTATATAAATTTGACCATTTTGTCCTTCCCACCTTCCTTGTGATACACAGGCAGAGAGACTGAACTTTCTCCACAAATATTTTCACATTTTTCTCTTGCCTCTTGCCAAAGACCTCAATAGACCGGACCCTAGCTCCTTTAAAACCTTCTGAGACTCTGGCTACACAGAGCAAGAAAGCTGATTTTGCAACCAATTTGCAATTAGCTGACCAACCATGCCTCATTATAGCAGTCCTCCTACCTGGAGACTGCACAAAGATATATATTGGCACTACGATACACAAGTAAGAGGCTACTGCTGGCTAACTTCCAGCAATCTCCAGCAATCGGAATAGCCCTCGGTGAGCTACTGCAGTCAGCATCAACTGTTTCTCCTTTATCCACCAGGCCTCTGACAGTGTCACTGAAGACAACCAGATTAGTTTCACATTTTGTTGCTGACGTTCATGTCAGGCTGTTACTAACCTCCTTAGTATTTGCAGTAGTTTGAGTACTGAAGCAGACTATTCCCAGTGGAGAAGCTACACTGACCTGTCTATAATTTAGCTGACTCCTCCTTTCTTCCTCTAAGCTGAGTACTATATTTCCTTTTTCTCCAGTCTTACGCTAATTACATGTTCTCTTTCAGTTCCCTAATATCTCAATTTCCCCTATATCCAATTTCTTATAAAATATAATCTACTTGTATATTTTTCCTCTCTATTCTATTAAGTCACCTGCATACAGATTAAGGATTTTTCATCCTAATGAAACTGCTCTGTTCATGCT